AGCACAGAGAATGTAAAAGAACATGGTGTATTTAGGGAATGACTGGTGATTCTGGGAGACCAGAACATGGGGGTGTGAGTGGCGGTGGATGGTAGTAGAATGGAGGGGGCAGGGAACATCAGATTGCAGAGGACCTTGAATGTAAGAACTTGGCTTTCGTCCTGCAGGCACCAGGAAGTTGGTGAACTAGTTTAAGCAGGGGAGGCTCATGGTCAGATTGGTATTTTAGAGAGAACATTGTGACTTTTTTCGAGATGCCAGTGAGGTGACAGTAGTTTTTGCTCAATATCATAAATAAAAGTACAGACCAGAGGAGGCGGCACCAAGGCCACTATTAAAGAGCCCTGGTATAATTAAGGAACAAATTCGCTTTAAACTTATTTTAGCCGTAATGAGACACATGAAAGATATACAGTGATGCCTCTATGAGGAGATACTTGGGAGGCAAAGCTCTGGTTAATAAGGTCAGCCGGAGGGCAAAGGGAGAGAAGGTTTGCCAATGGTGGTGGCTGTAAAGTAGGAGGAAGCAGGATGTCTGTTCCTGAAACCTCCTCCATGAGCGTCTGGGCCTAGCCCAGCTGAATGGGGCTTCTCACCCAGGGTCCTCGTGGCTGGGACACCTGGGAATGGACTCTCTGCACCAAGGACAAGAGGGGTCCAAGAGTGCTTGGTTCTGCACAGGTGAATAACTTAGGGGTGGGGCCCACCTTGCTGGGATGGAAGGCAGGCCCTGCTAAGTTGGGAAACAAGGAGGTTCCTTCCCTAAACAAGTCTTCCTCTGCCTCCTATAGCATGCCTCTACTTCTAAGAAATTGCTGACCACAAAGATGGTTCTTCTGCTACTTCTTCTTCTTTTATTGGATTTAGGCATTCACTCAACAAACACTTATTGAGTGCCTGCTATATGCCAGGTACCATTCTAGGTGCTGGGAGATCCAGTGATGAACAAAATAGACAAGGCCCCTGCCCTAACGGAATTTACATTCTAGTAGAGAAGACAGACAAGAAACCAGTAATTAAATTAATGTAGAATATAATTTCAGGTAGTGATGAGTGCTATGAAGATGCTAATAAAGGATATCAGTGATGGAGAGAAACTGGGAGGGCTTTAACTAGTATGCTCATGGAGGTCCTCTCTGGGAGGTAATATTTGAGCTGACTTGAATGCTTCAAAGGAGTCAGCCTTGCAACTAGCTGGGGAAAGAGCCCTCCAGGCAGAGGGAGCAGCAAATGCAAAGATCCTGAGATTGCAAGGGGCTGGCTGTGTTGGGGATTAGCAAGGCCAGTGATGCTGGAGGGGAGGGAGAGTGCAGGAGGGTAGCAGGAGTGGTTGTCCGGGGGGCCTGGGCGTGGGGCCACATCACATAAGGCCCAGGGTAAGGAGCTAGGATTTGCTGAGTGTGATGGCAAGCCACTGGGGGGTTTTGAGCAGGGGGCTGATGTGACTGCTGTGGCGGCGGTGTGGAGAATAGGGAGGCAAAGATGGAAGCAAGGAGACCAGTTAGGTATTGCAGTGACCCAGCAACAAGATAATGATGGCTCAAACGAGGCAAGTAGTGGTTGGATTACAGAAATATGTTGAAGGAAGAGTCACGAGATTTACTGTTGGATTAGATGTGGCATGTGAAGGAAAGAGAGGAATCAATGACTCCTAGGTTTTAGTCTGAGCATCTGGTTAGTGGCATTTCCTGAGACAGGGAAAACTAGGGGAAGGAGTGAGTGTGAAGGAAACCAAGATTTCCATATGCACTGTTAGGTGGAGATGTCGACTAGGCAGTTGGTTATAGGAATATGGAGTTCAGGGAAGAGGTCCAGTCTAGAGATAAAAATTTTGGAGTCCAGAGTGTATAGATAGTATTTAAAGTCTGAATGAGATCATCCAGGATATGGTAGCCGCCAGCCACATGTGACCCTTGAGCACTTGAAATGTGGCTAACCCAAATTGAGATGTGCCGTATATGGAAAATACACAACAGATTTCAAAGACTTAGTATGAAAAAAAGAATGTAAAATACCTCATTGACATTACTTTTATAATGATTACATGTTGAAATGATAATATTTTGGTTCTATTGAGTTAAATAAAATATATTATTAAAACTAACTTCACCTGTTTCTTTTTACTTTTTTTAATGTGGCTACTAGAAAATTTAAAATCACATACATGGCTTGTAATAGTGGCTCACGTTAACATTTCTATTTAATGGCATAGGTCTAGGAAATGATTGTAGATGGATAGGGTCAAGGACAGAGCCCTCGGGTGCTACAACATTTCAAATTCAGGGAGAAAAGAAAGATCCAGCAAAGGAGATTGAGAAGGAACAGCAAATGAGGTAGGAGGGAAATTAGGGGAGTGGGGTGTACGGAAGGGCAAGTGATAACATTATTCGAAAAGGAAGAAGTGTCAGATGCTGCTGGGAGTTCAGGTAACTGACAGTTGGATTTAACAAGAGCAGTTTGGTGGAGTGGTTTGGAAGCAGTTCGGTTTGGAAGCCTGATTGGAGAGAGCTCAAGAGAATAAGTGAAGACATAAAGAGAGTAAGTAGAGATCACTCTTTTGAGTTTTGCGTTAAAGAGATGCAGAGAAACGGGGTAGGAGTAGGAAGAGGATTTTGAATCAAGGGGAGGTTTGTGTGTTTTATTGTGGGTGTTGGTTTGTTTAGAAGGGGAGACAGCTCAGCTGATGGTGGTGCTGTCCTCAGGCCCGTTAGGATTCAGTTGGGGAAATAGGGCAAGTGTGCCAGAAACAATTGGAGACAGTCTCAACTCAAGAGTTAGTTAAATCGAATAATGACACTGTTAGTGATCTAGGGACGCAGATGCCGCCAAGATGCCCTCTTTCTTTGTTCTCCCCTTTGTCTTTCATATTTTTCTCTTTGGTTGTTGTTTCCCTTTCTTTTTCTACCCTTGACAGTGGTAGGTCAAGGACAATGTTATCCTACTGTGGCCTGGTGTTTCGGAAAGCAGGCTCATTTTCCACGGACTTCTCTAAAGCTCAGAGAAAGTTTATTTCCCCAGGGTCTAAAAAGCCTTCTTGAGTGGCGGGGCAGGGGTGCTGCCATGTTCATTAAGATGGCCCAGGAACTCACCAGTGATGTGAACTGCTCCTAGACCAAGGAATTCTCCTGTTCTCCCTCTGAATTTCTGAGGGGCTTCTGAATTTCCTTACCCCTTTGATCCTTCCAGATCTCCAGGTGGAACTTGTGTGTGTGTGTGTGTGTGTGTGTGTGTGTGTGTGTGTGGTAATTAGTGAGCATTCTGTGGGCCTGGGGTTAAGTCATCTTCAGGCACAATTGTGATATTGGCTCATAGAGTTTGAGTGACTTGAACGAAGTGTCAATACCTTTCAGCCAAAGCCCGCCAGCAACACGCCTGTCGTTGAACAAGTTGGGTTTAGTACTCGCTGCAGTGAGAAGGAACACACACCGTGGGGAGCCATAGGACTTCCCGTGAGAGAACCTGAAGCCGTCTTGACACCAGGGCCCTGTCAGCCCTCATTGTGGTTTGGAAGCTTTCGCTTTCCAAGGCCTTAGTCACTCTTGCTGGGTGACCTCTCAAGTTTGCCTTAACCTCAGAGCCTGTGGTCTCCTGTCTCTACCTCCAGAATTGTATCAGGGACTTATGGCTAGAAAGCAGCACAGGATGGGCCTGGAGCCCATCCATGAAATAGCAATGGCAGCTTGACTATATCTGGGAGCAGAGCAGATCTGAGGTGGGGAGGGCACCCCAGAACCTACTTAACCCCACTTGATGTTACTTGAGTCAGTCACATCAAGACCCCAGGGGAGCTATTATGAGGCAGTCTCTGCTTGCCTCTCTACAGCCCTCCTGCTATGTATGAATATAACACCCTTTCTCTGGATTAAGGTGCTCATCAGATCTCCCTCCCCCTCCCAAAGTCCCATTAAAAATGTCAGCATTGATTTATAAAGGTTTGATTGTCAACTGACAGGCTTCTCTAGACCTGTCATCCCTAGCTTTTGCTAGAAGGCTAGATTGAATGGAGAATTTACAGTTGACTCTCAATTGATTATCTGCACTAATGGAAAAGAGCACAAGGACAGATAATTCTCCCATGACATAGAATCAGAGTCATGGGAGAATTATCCTTTTGATGGTCACTTTGGTTGTTTCCCATTTTTGGCTATTTAAAACAATGCTGTGATAAACATTCTTGCAGGTCTATTTTTGTGTACAAGTGTGAGTATATCTACAGGGTAAAGTTCTAGAAGTGATGCTACTGGACCAAAAGGTATGTGCATTTTTTAAATTTTGGTCTTGTGAAATTGCTCTTCAGAGAACAATTTACACTCCATAATGTATGAGAGTGTCTATTCTTCCTATCCTTGTCAGCAATGTAATGTCATCAAAATTAAAAGTTTTTTGACAATCTGATAGGTGAGCATGTTGGCTTGATATTTTGATTTGCATTTCTTTAGTTATAAGTGGGACTCAGCTTTTCCTTTTTTTTTTTTTGTGAGGAAGATCAGCCCTGAGCTAACATCCATGTCAATCCTCCTCTTTTTACTGAGGAAGACTGGCCCTGGGCTAACATCTGTGCCCATCTTCCTCCTTTATATGGGACACTGCCACAGCATGGCCGGAGAAGCGGTGCGTCGGTGCGCATCCGGGATCCTAACCCAGGCCGCCAGCAGTGGAGCGCGCGCACTTAACCGCCAAGCCACGGGGCCGGCCCCCAAGCCTGAGTTTTTCTTTATGTGGTTATTAGCTATTTCTATTTCTTTTTCTATAAACTGCTCTTGTATCCTTTGCCCCATTTTATATCGAGCTGTCTTTTATTGATTTATATGTGCTCTTGACAAATTAAGAAAATTGGCCCCCATATCTGTATTTGTTGCAAGTAGTGTTTCCTAATTTGTTATTTTTCTGTTGACTCTTTACTTTTTTTGGCCAAAAGTTTTAAATTTTTATGCAGTCAAATATCTCGATCTTTTCCTTTTATGTCTTATCAATATAATTTTGTCTCCGTGGGCACACCCATGAATAGTAACGGGCCTCCAACACTAATGGTCCCCAACACAAAGCAATAGATCAGGGTTTTTACATTTGTCTTTTTTTGATAACAGTTTTATTGAGATGTAATTCACATCCTATACAATTCACCCATTTAAAGTATATAATTCAATGCTTTTTAATATAGTCAAAGATTTGTGCACCCATCACCACAATTAATTTTAGAACATTTTCATCACCTCAAAAAGAAACCCTGTACTCTATCTCTTAAAAAAAGAAAAAACCGAGAAAACCATCACCCCCATCCCTAGGCAAGACACTTTCTGTGTCTGCATATTTGCCTATTCTGGATGTTTCATATAAATGGAGTCATTGTCTTTTTTAAGGAAGGATAATTCTCTTTGATGGCAATTCCCTTTGTATATCTTTTCTTGAATAGTTTTAAGAATCTAACTGAAGGATAAAGGGTAGGGTAAAATGATTGTGTTCTGTCCTGGATATTAAATGATGATCTTCTGCTTTTTTGCTCTATATTTTCTTTTAGTGCTCTTACTATGGCTGAATCACTAAGGGAAGTTTCTAGCAGTCTGGAAGTTCTGGAGGCCAGTGATGAGAGTAAGTAACCTAATAAAATCTTGATAACTAGAACTAGATTTGTTTACTGTGCTTAGCCCCTGGGACAAAGTATCGAGTCACAAGAAAAGAAGTTCATATGAAATTTCTAATAACATTAGACTCAGGCCACATTTACTTTTCAGTCTTCTACCTCTTCTCTTTCATCTCCAACTCTTATAGACAAAAGATTTGTCTGAGGCCCTGTAATCTTTGAGGCTGGTTACCACATTCTACTTACTAAGGCAGGGGAAGTATTTCTGCTTAATCAGAAAAAAACATCAGAGCAGGCTATAACCTCAGAGTCAACTGAGGTTTTACTCTAGCGAGCAATCCAGGTTTAACCAATAGATACATTTGTAATTTGAGGAGTAAAGGGAGGAGAGAGACAAGAGACCACTATAGGCTTCTGTTACGTAGAATTCAATTGACAAAAATTCTGTTTTTGCAAAACTTACTCAGATGTGTATTCTTTGCCTAAATTGTGGTGCCACCTATGAGTGATAGGTGACCATGAGTGGAATAATAGAAAGGGAGGCAAAAGTCACTAAACAATGATAAGCTTTATTGACACCGAAAAACCAACCAACCAACCAACAAAAACCAAAAACAAAGGAATCATAAGGCATAAAATGAGACCTTGAATTTAAAGACAACTGAATTGAACAGTTCACTGGTTTGTTCTTCAATTTTTGCTGAGTTTTCTTAGTAGTGTATGGTACAGAAGACTTGGTCTGGAAGGACAGAGAGAGGGGAACCTTCTTGTGGTTTCTTAGAGGCCTGACTTCACTGATGATGTGGGATGGGGGATGCTGAGCCTGGTGAGTGGATCCTTGAAGGCAGGACTTGGGTCTTCATCTCTGTGTCACCATTGTTTATTATTGGGTCTCAGCAAGAGCAATTCGACACTCAAAACTATTTAATCAATGAATGAATAAATAAATGAATGATAGGCCTCCTCACCAAGGCAGTCCCAACTACCAAACCAACCGACCTATCTTTTTGGATATGAGCTAGACAGATGAAGAGTGGAGTTAAGGAAATGCCTTTTCTCTGTTCCCAAGATTTTTTTTTAAAGACCAAGCATTTGGGTACATTTTTAGTATTAGTCATTCCTAGCCCGAGAATAAGGTGCTGTTGACAGGTTGAAGGGAAGAAAGCCTAGTTAGAAATGTTTTCTTTCCAAGCAGCAATGCAGGAGAACAGGGTCACCATTAGGTGATGCATTTTTAAGGCTCATTGAGTTCAACCCAGATGGGCTGCCTGTGTGCATGACAGATAAGCAGATATACAACCCAGAAGCAATGATTTCTTCATTGGATTTAACAGTGTTTTATTCTCCGGGGAAAAAACTGCCTTCCGTGGACTGTTTTCTGGCGTGTGACACACTGCAGACCCTCATTGGATGAGGATGTTGAAAGCTACTGCCTGTTTGGGAGTACATAGTCCTTGGGCTTGGACAGGAAAATCAGTGGCTTTGTTATAGGAGAAGTCCAGACAGCCGTCAGCTCACTGACCATCACTGCTGTGCCTTGTGGGGGCATAAGTTACCCGGTATATAGGTGACTTACGCAAACATTCCTGGATACAAATGTGGGTTTTGACCTATACCTGCTGTCTAGGTCTATCTACCCTTTGCACTTTCAGCAGTTTTTGAAAACCAGCCTGTGCAGGGCTCAGCTGCTGGCAATTGAAAGGCATCCCTTTACAAAAGAAAGCTTGAGAGGCCAATTTATACACTTGAATATGTAGCAACCATCTTGGATTCCATTAGGGTTTCAAAAGGAACGTAGCATGTGGACAGTTCCCAGCTTTGTATCTATTCCCAGGGCTCCTCTGCACACATGGGGTCTCATGCGGTTGACGATGGGGAGGTCTCCTAAGGCAAAGCAGGCTGAGGACTTGGGCTCTTGCAGCTGACATTCAGTGTCTGGCAATGGGTTGCTCACTAAGGCTGTGTCCAGCTTCCAAGTCACTACCCTAGTGACTTGATGACAGCTTCCAAGTCACTACCCTAGATGAGCAGCCAACCCACCATGTGTGGTGGTTACCATCTCTTGATGCCCCCCACAGCCTCTCCACCAGCAAAGCTATACCACCCCCATACTCAGAGCTACCCCACAGCGGGGAATGGAAACATTCTTTTCCTTTTAGTGCCCATGGTTGAAGGAGACACACATTGCTGAAGGTATTTTGAATCCTCATGGGAAAATAAGTTGTTGTTTCTGCCCAGCAAAAATGGAAAATTGAGGGGACATTGGAATATATGCATACTTAAGTTTTAGCACCTGTTACAGTTCTAAAGTCACCAGTCATTTTTTTAATTTAGGAACATAAAAACGTGTTAATGCATAATTTTGGTTGCTCATACAATGATTATTTTTGGTACATTTGGTTTTATAGCCCAAAAAGTTTATTATTCAGTTATTAAGTGTTTATAGATTGTGTCACAAATGGAGCTACCAGCTGCTGGTTCTCTCCTCTTTCTCTTTGCTGGTTCATGAGAAGCAGATTTGTAACTCCAAATCCTCTAGCTTTGCCCTCCTCCCTTCTATTCTGGGATTTTGAAGCAAGAGGGACAATAATCACCATGTTTCCAAATCCTCTGAGCATACAGTTATTCCCCTTTCAGAAGACCAGATGGAGATCCACCTGTCAACAATCCATAAATATTATTCCTTCTATTTGAAAAATAGCGATGCCTGCAAAGGCCAACATATGGCATGCCCCTTCCTGTTTGTGAGAGGACACTGCCCATTGTCATGTTGGCAGGTTGAAATTGACCATGGTGGGAGTATTTACACCACAGAAATAGGCGAATACTACAAATAAGGGCATTTTCCCCACAGATTAAGTTGATAAATATTTTTCAGCAAAAAACTGGTTATAGTAATTAGTATAGTAATCAGGATTATACATAAACATCTCATTATTTCATAGATTTTAGAAATCATTTGAGGGTGGGAGATTAAGAGAGAAGGCCAGAGAGCAAAATATAGCTTATTTTAGAGCCAGCCTACTCTGTACTGTATACTTTTCAGCACTTTCACATTGAATCCTAACAGTAGTTCTATGAGGTCAAACATCATTTTAAATATGTTATTATCATAAAAATTAGTTTAATTTTTTCCTGAAAAAAGTTAAAGAAGGAAACTTGGGAAAATAGATGTTTCCGGTTGTATCTTCATGTTTTATTCTCTTTATCTCTAGGTAGAATTGACAACTTTGTCACAACCATGACCCTATATAGGTACATCCTTGTAGATGAGAAATTGCTCATGTCATTTAAAACTGAAATTACTTAAGCAGTGATTATCAAGCAAACAATTCTACAGTGTTCTTTCTTTGCCCCACCCCATGCTGGTTTCTGCTTCTAATCATGTGTATTTTAGAGTTCACTATTGAGTTATAGATATGCAGCTGCTTCCCCTTGTCCATGGATAGATAAATTAGATACACAGAATTGATAGATCAATTCTACAGATAGAATTGAATCTGGTCTTAATAAACAAGTAATTATTGATTCCTTAGTACTAGTTCACATTTGTTAGCTCTTGCTACATGCCCGATTCTGTGCTAAGCTCTTTACCAACATTATTTACAATTTACATCAACCCCAATAAAGGTCAGTGTTTAAATTATGGGATGCTTAAGGATACCTCTGCTCAGTGATCTCAATTTAGGGAAGTGACAAGATGTGCTGGCATTCTGTACCCCTCAGGGGACTCAGTGGTCCCTCGAGTGTTACTGCATGCCTTGCACTGTGCTAGTTGCTAAAGGGGATGCTGAAGAGGAGCTGCCTACAGCCTTGATGGAGGGACAGTAGCTAAGACATAGAACTGTATCTTACTCTTTTCTCATTGATACTCCAAACATAGCAAGTACTTGATCTTAATATTTATTGAATAGATGAATGAATGAATGAATGAGCAGACTAGAGAGCAATCAGAAGTAAAACTTGTGGTGCCAAAAGTCAAGTTTTAGGTGTGTAGAGAGAAGCATGAATTGTAGTGATTGGTGAGAAACTGAACTTAAAGCAGGCCTTGAAGTTTAGAAACATTTCTAATAGGCAGGCCCAGGAGGAATCAGTACACAAATAGGTCATAGCATTTCAGAGCTAGAAAGAACCCTAGTTCAGCATTTCCCAAAGTGTGTTTTGTCACACATTCTGCTTACATGCATTTGGGAGACAATATTATCGCCTGGTTTCTTGCAGTTTCACCATGCACATAAGCATGTTGACATTTCAGAAAAGTCTTGTTGGAAAGCAGACCCCTAAACTTTGTCTAATCCAGCTTTCCCAGATTGATTAGACTGCACATCCCTTTTTCCTGCAACAGACCTATGAGTATCTCTCTGAACACACTGTGGGAGATGCTGCTTAGTGTGACCTCATTTTCCTGCTGAGTCTCAGAGAGGCTGAGTGACTTCCCCAAGGTCACAGAGCTAATTGATAGCAAGGATCCCAGAGTTTTCTGATTCTTGGGTGGTGCTTTCCGTTACACACTAAGCCTTTCCAATGGCAGCCCCATTGGCAACTCCCTTGGCTAGGCCTTCACTGCCAGCGCAGCATCGCTGTGCTGGCAAGACGCCTTCTGGAGACCAGACTGTTGGGAATTGAAATGAGACACCTGAGTTGGTAAATTATTGCATGTGAAAGCAAGAAGAGCTAATTCCTTCGTTCTGAAGAATGCAGCATGAACTCCCCTCCCCTTTCCCTTTTTCTACTGAGCCCGATAAGGATATACGTGTTTATTAGGAAACTGAAGAAAGCCCAAACAGCCTGAGGAGGGTTTAAAGCTCACATTCCTCACTGCTGCCCTGGTAGTTATTATAGATAGAGCAAACTTTCAATTATCTGCATGTGCAGAGGGCAGCAGCCGTGTAGATAATCCAAACCAATCAGCAATAACTGAAGAACATACACAATGCACATAATACACACACACACGTGCACACACATGCACGCATGTATGCACCCCTTGCAAAACCCTTTGGTATCCAATTTTGTCATGCCTTTTGCACAAGCAGCTTCTTTGCCTAGCAGCCCTTTCTTTTCTCCGATTCCCAGCCCTCTGCCTTGCTCATAAATTCCTTCCTCAAGGAAGTCTTTCCTGACTGCACCAACCGACTGCCTCTCACTCCTTGGGTCTGTATCCTTTCAGCATACAGACTGGGCAGTAGCAACTCCCACATGGGTTTCCAAGGGTCCTGAAATGTTTTTCACATGTGGAAGCTTGGCTCCCCAACTGGATTGCAATGCTTTCAGCCATCAGGGTGTTGTCAGGGAGGTACCAAGTGCTTACGTTGGCTCAATAATTGCAGCACATGAATGAACTTCTGAGGACCAGGAAAGAGGTGTGGATTAATAGTTGAAATTGAGAGGCAAGTAAATGCCTGGTGGGTGGGGTCTGAATAGAGGCTTCCCAAAGCCCACAAGCTGTGGTCTGGGCTTTTGCTTTCCCAGAAACTAGACACTTTGTTACTGAGTTATTAAGAAGAGAACAAACCAAATGAATGGTGCTATGGGCACTGCGGGCCAGGCCAAGATCTGCAGGGCACCTGGGATCACAGTCCTTGTTCATCACAAGGGTGCTGTTTCCTCTTCTGTCTTCCCTTCCTCCATCACACTCTGCCTCACTTTCATTTCTAACTTCCAGGAAAGAAGAAATCCAAATTTAAAGTCTTCAAGAGCTTTTTTGGCAAGAAGAAGAAAAAAGAGCCTGAAGGTGCCCAGGGAGAGAGGAGACTAAGACCAAGTTTGTCCAGCGGCAATGTTGGCGTCTCTTCTCTGATGCCAGTTCAGGAGAGCCGACAAACTGCGCCCAGGTAAGCTCACATGGCGTGGAGCAGGGTGAGGACAGGACAAGAGGTGGACAGCTGGATCCAGGTCCCCCTTTGGCAGGCAAATCACCAATGAGCCTTTGGTCCCAGGGACTCTTGTCCCCACTGCCTGTGCAGCCATTGCCAATGCAGCCATGTCCCGGGGGGCTTTCTCTGTGCTCGTACGTATGCTTGTTGTCTGGGCTGCACAACTCCATGGGTTGGAGCATGGGAAATGCACATCTCATTCCCCAAGGGCACTGGGTGAGAGGGTGCAGATAGATCAGGGCACCCCTTCCCTGTCACAGCTACAGTCACCGGAGACGTGGGGCCTACCACCAGTAAAGACCTGGAGGCCTCTGTTTCATAAGGTGAGGACGGCCTACATCATTCAGGAAGCTTGGTCTGGTTTGCTTGCCTGGCCCTCAGATCTATGATGACCAGGCGAGGGGAGCTAGATCTTGTAATGTGTGATTCAAGTCTCATCACTGTGATAATGTAAAAACGAACAAACGAGCAAGCCAAGAACCCAATCCATATCTCCCTCCATCACAGTAGACTGGGAGAAACGCTGTAACTGGTCACAGAAGGTGTGAGGAAGAACGTTGCTCGGCCACCACTGCCACCCCTATTCAAATTTTCATCTGTGATGCCCCAACTTCCACATCCTGTTGTGGAAAATCTGAACACCCGGTACCCCCAGCTGTTCCTGGATCAATCAGATCCCCTTCTCTGGGTTTCCACTTGGGCCTGTTCTCTGGCCTTAAACTCCAGACTTATCTGGACTCCCCACAGAGCTCACCTGTGCTACTACCCATTCCCTCGAGGCTTTGCTCTGTACTAATTGACATTTAGTGAACATGTCATACTGCCCCTAAAAGTTGTCACTTAGGTCTCCCTGAGAGGAACCTTAATGAGTGCATCGAATGTAAGGAACTTCAGACAGCTTTGCTAGTGGAGGAGATGGTTTTGGACAGAGGGGCTTGTTTCATACCTCACAAATCATACTATTAGAGACCATTGCCTTATAGCTCTAAGTAAGGCTAAGACTAGCCCTGCCAAAAACCCCAGGGTGGGGTGAGGGAGGGGTGTTTGGGTTTACTCTGCGTTGTCTCTACAAATTGGCAAGGGCTTTCTCTACTAAAGTTCTACATTTCCCCCTCTTACTTATCCCTCCACCTCCAAAATGGCCAATGTAGTCTGATGCGTTCTGCATACTAAGAAGGTGTGTGCATGTGCACCTCTCTGAAAGATGGGGGATAAGGGAGGGAGGGAGAGAGAGGGAGAGGATGGAGAGAGTGGGAGAGAGAGTTCAGTGTAAGTGCATGAACTAATTCAAATATAGGGAAGGATATTTTTCTAAGGACCTGAGATAGGTCTTTTTTTTTTTTTTGCAAAGAGCATAAATTAATTAAGAGTATAACTTAAGAGTCCTGAAGATCACCCCTGACCCCAGTCTCTTGCTTAATGTGCTAGGGGAGAAACCCTGGAGAATGTCACACAAGCTTTTTTCTTCTATCGAAGCAATCACTCATAACAAAACTTATAGCCAGCCCTCCTCTGGCCTGCACAATAGGGCCAGTATCTATTTCCAAGACCATATTAAGCTATATCTGATGGAATAGACAAATCCCATTCCATTTGATTTTTGAATGGGTGCTGATATACTGTGCTTTATTGCCCTTAATTAAGGCCAAGATTTAGTTTGGAGTTTTGGGTATATTTTCTTCTTTTTGCCTCCAGGGAGCAGATCAGTAAGCACTAGATATGGTCAGTGGACAGGAGGTTTGGTTTCTGACAAACTTGGCCACAGCTGGTGCTAATGTAATCCTTTGATCAGGGAGGGCCTAGCACTAGAGAGCCAATTCAACAGCTGCACTCTGGCTGATGCACTCATGGCCTAAGGTTTCCTTGCAGGTTTTCTGCACAAAGCAGGGGAGGCGAGGTAGTCACTGATGCTACGCTGGTCCCAAGCCTGGTTTGAGCCAGCAGGTCATAGAGAAGCAGTGACTGAAAGTGTGCCTGTGTGCATAATGAGCGAATGCGTGTATTTAGAGATGTCTGGAAACATTGCTCTCTCAATGCTGCATCAGTCATACATGCCCATTAAGTGTTTATCTAGAGTCATGTTAATTTTATGCTGGACTGCTATGTTAATAAAGCAGAGCATGTTGCCTTCACTACCAAGGCTGCCTGGGTAGCAGCATTTTCTAGGAAAAACGTGGGTAAGAGTTTAATAGAAAGTGGCAGACATCTGCCTCGTCTCTTCTCTTGCTGGCCCACAGCCACCTTAGTGTGGGTGCCATTTTAATCCCCATAGCACCAGATTGTCCTCGGGATGTGTCATGATCAAGTATATCCATGTGTATGACCCATAGCCAGACAGGCTCACAATGACAGGTGGCTGCTAGCCCTACAGTGCCCAAGCTGCTACTCTAGCTCTCATTTAAAGATTGTTTTTTAAAGTGCCAACCTACATGTATTGTTTTGTAACAAAGGTTAATAAATGCAAAAAAAAAAGTATTTGAAATTTAAAAAAATTATTTTATCTAATTTTATTTTTTTTTTTAAGATTTTATTTATTTATTTTTTTCCCCCCAAAGCCCCAGTAGATAGTTGTATGTCACAGCTGCACATCCTTCTAGTTGCTGTATGTGGGA